CGCGCGGGAGGCCACCGTTTGCAGCCAGGCCCGGCTGCCGGCCGCTGGTAGGCAGGGCGCCGAGATGGCCTCCCAGCCACCGAGGGTCTCCAGTTCCCCCAGACACCGGGCCAAGGGCATGAAGAAGACACCGCCCCCGGAGAGGAGCGTGCGGCCGCCGGTGGACCCAGACTCGGACGACACAGCCCAGCGCAGCAGGCTGTCCTGGGCGACCCTGGCCAGGGCCGTGGGCTACTTCAAGATGTCGCTCTTGGACATACGGCGGGGCGGGCTGCTGTCCTCCCTCAACCCGCTGGCCATGGAGCAGAGACTGCCTGAGAAGCACCCGATGCCTGAAAAGAAGTTCTGGGGCGACCAGGAGCCCCTCTCCAAGGTTAGAACTGCTCTTGGGGGAGGGGTGGCGGTTTGTCCCCTGCCAGAGGCGCATCTAGTGGGCCAAGGCTCAGAAGTGGCCACAGGTGGCCCAGGGCTCCCCCCTCCCCCCGCAGTCGCTGGGGAAACAGGACTATCCTGGGAAGGGGTTGGGCAGTGAGGACAGTGTTTCAAAGCAGCTGCCCTGACCCAACCTAGACCTTGTGGTCTCCAGCTGAGCCTCTAAATATCCCCAAGGTGACACTCCCAAGTGCATACCCCAGGGTGGGTGAAGGGGCCCTCCCCACCTGTTAAACAGAACACCAGCAGCAACAGAAAACTTAGAGTAGCAATAATAAAATAAAAACACAAAAACCTAACAACACTGCTCTGTATTCCGGGTGATACCTGAGAGACGTTGCCTTGATAAAGCAAAAACAGGCAGCTGGAAAGAGGAAATAATCTGTGAGCAGAGAAAATTCCTGGGGATGAAAAAGAGGATTTCCAAACCCAAATCCTCAGTGAAGGCTCTAACGTCAGAGGGAGAACTGGGACAGGAAGTCAGAAAGCAAGCTCGGGGGGTTCTTTGAGAACTCAGAGAAAAAAATAGAAAGGAACAAAAACGAGAGAAAAGATAAAGGGCACACAGGAGCGACCCAGAAGAGCCAATATACATATGAGAGGTGTAGGAGAGGGGGGAGGAAAGAAACACAGGAGGAAAACAATGAAGAAAACCTCCCTGGGCGGAAGAGAGACTGAAGTGCTCTCATGGAAAGAGATGGTCAAGGTCAATGAAAGGTTGGAAAGAAATATAACCTCACCTGTCCATTGATTTATCTGTCTGTTCTTCCACAAATACCATGCTGTCTTGATTTTTGTTGCTTTATAGTAAGTCTTGAGGTCAGGTAGTGTCATTAGTTCACCTTTGTTCTCCTTCAATAGCTGTTCTTTGCCTCTCCAAATTTTAGAATCAGTTTGTCAATAAACACAAAATAACTCAATGGGGTTTTAATTGGGATGGCACTGAATCCATAGATTAGGTGGGGAGAACTGACATCTTTACAATATTGAGTTTTTCTGTCCATGAACATGGAATATCTCTGTTTATTTAGCTCTTTGATTTTATTCATCAGAGTTTTGTAGTTTTCCTTGTATAGATCGTCTACATATTTTGTGAGATACGCACCTAACTATTTAATTTTTTGGTGCTAGTGCAAATGATACTGTGTTTTAAAGTTAAAATTCCACTTGTTCATTGCTAGTATACAGGAAAGTGATTAACCTTCTGTATATTAACCTTGTATCCTGCAGTCTTGCTATAATCACTATTAGTTCCAGAAGTGTTTCATTGATTCTTTTGGATTTCGTATATCGGTGATAATGTCATCTGCAAACTAAGACAGTTTTATTTCTTCTTCTTTCCCAATCTTATACTTGTAATTTCCTTATCTTACTGCATGAGCTAGAACTTCTGATACAAGGTTGGAAAGGAGTAGTAAGAGAGAACACCTTTGCCTTGTACTGGTCTTAGTGGGAAAGCTTTGGAGTTTCTCACCATTAAGTATTATGTTAGTTGAAGGTTTATTGTAGGTATTTATTTGTCAAGTTAAGAAGCTCCCCTCTAGTTTGCTGAGCATTTTTTATAATGAATGGGTGTTGGATTTTTGTCAAATGCTTTTTCTGTACCTATTGATATGATCGCATGAGTTTCCTATTGATGTGATGGATTACATTAATTTATTTTTGAATATTGAACTGGTCTTTCATACCTGAGATAACCTTCACTTGATCATGATGTATAATTTTTTCTATGCATTGTTGGATTCTGTTTGCTAATATTTGGTGAGGATTTTTGCATTTGTGTTCATGAGAGATACTGGTAATGTCATTGTCTGGTTTTGGTATTTTGGTAATGCTAGGTAGCCTCGCAGAATGACTTATGAAGTATTCCCTCTGCTTCTATCCTCTGAAAGAGATTGTAGAAAACTGGTATAATTTATTCCTTAAACATTTGGTAGAATTTACCAGTGAACCCACCTGGGCCTGGTGCTTTCTGTTTTAAAAGGTTATTAATTAGTGGTTCAGTTTCTTTAATAGATAAAAGCCTTTTCAAATTATCTATTTCTTTTCATGTGGGTTTTGGCAAATTGTGTCTTTCAAGGAATTAGTCCATTTCATTTCAAATTTGAATCTAGCCAGTTGTATTTCAAGCTATCAAATTTGTGGGAATGGAGTTGTTTATGATATTCTTTGATTATCTTTTAATGTCCATAGCATCTGTGGTGATATCTGTTTTATTTCTGGCGTGTGCCCTGACGGGGAATTAAACTGCGATCTCCTGGATCATATCCATGCTCAACTGCTGAGCCATGCCAGTCGGGCTGTTTTAGTTCTGATATTAGTAATTTGTGGCCTCTCTGTTTTTTTCTGTTATCCTGGCTAGACGCTTATCAATTTTATTGACCTTTTGAAAGACCAGCTTTTGGCCCAGACCGCATGGCTTAGCGGTTGAGCATCGACCTATTATCCAGAAGACTGTGGTTTGATTCCTGGTCAGGGCACATGCCCAGGATGAGGGCTTGATCCCTGCTGGGGGGCATGCAGGAGGCAGCCGATCAATGACCCTCTCTTATCATTGATGTTTCAGTCTCTCTCTCTCCCTCTCCTTCCTCTTTGTGAAATCAATGAAGTTATATTAAAAAAAAAAGACCAGCTTTTGGGTTCATTGATTTTCTCTATTGATTTTCTGTTTTCAGTTCCATTGATTTATGCTCTATTCCTTATTTCTTTTCTTCTTCTTACTTTGAATTTAATTTATTTTTATTTTTCTATTTTTCTAGGGTGGAAGTTTAGGTAATTAATTTTAGATCTTCTTTTTTAATATATGAACTCAATGATATAAATTTCCCTTTAACCACTCTTTTCACTGCATTTCACAAATTCTGATAAGTTGTATTTTTATTTTTGTTTAGTTGAAAATATTTTAAAATTTTTTCCTGAGATTTCTTTTTTTGAACTGTGTTATTTCTAAATGTGTTGTTGAGTCTCCATGTATTTTGACATTCCAACCATCTTTCTGTCATTGATTTCTAGTTTAATTCCATTGTGTTCTGAGAACAGACAGTGTATGATTTATGTTCTTTTAAATTTGTTAAGGTGTGTTTTGTGGCCTAGAATATGGTCTATTTTGGTAAATGCTCCATATGAGTTTGAAAAGAATGTGTATTCTGCTGTTGTTGGATGAAGTAGTCTGTAGATGTCCATTATATTCATTTATTTGTTTTTTAAAAATATATCTTTATTGATTTCAGAGAGAGGAAAGGAGAGGGGGAGAGAGAGATAGAAACATCAGTGATGAGAGAGTCATTGATCGGCTGCCTCCTGCACGCCCCCGACTGGGGATTGAGCCCGAAGCCCGGGCATGTGCCCTGACTGGGAATCGAACCACAATCTCCTGGATCCTAGGTCAATGTTCAACAGCTGAGCTACACTGGCTGGACTTTTTTTTTTTAATCCTCTCCTGAGGACACTTTTTTATTGATTTGAGAGAGAGATGAGGGAGGAGGAGAGAGGAAGAGAGAGGGAGAGGAGAAACATGGATCAGTTGCCTCCCATACATGCCCCAACCGGGGATCAAAACCGCAACCTTTTTGGTGTTTCAGACAGTGCTCCAACCAACTGAACCACTTAGCTGGGGCCTCCATCCATTTAGTTTTAATCTATATGTGTCTTTATACCTGAAGTGGGTTTCTTGTAGACAAGATATTGTTAGATCTTGTTCTTTGGTTGATTTTAATGATCCCTGCCTTTTAATTTGTGGATTTCAATAGTCAACATGATTATTGATATAGCTGGGTTAATATACACTATATTTGTTACTATTTTCTATTTGTTGATTTTTGTTCTTATTTTTACTTCCATTCTTCTTCTGTTTTTTTATGGTTCTAATAGAGCATTCTATGTGATTCCATTTTCTCTCCTTTTTGAGCATATCAGATATGGTGTTTTTTTTGTTGTTCCTTTTTGTTTTTACTTTTTTTTTAGTGATTGCCCATGAGTTTGCAATATATATTTATAGTTAATCCAAATCCACTTTCAAATAACCACTTGCTGGGTGATGTGGGCCCAGCTGCCTGGCCCAGGTTGTGGGCTCAGTTCCCAGTATGGGGCATGCAGGAGGCAGCCGATCATTGCCTCTCATCAGCCAGGACCACCTTTGTTCTTTTTCCAGATTGTTTTGGCTATCCTGCTTCTTTCGAATTTCCATATAAATTTTAGGATCAGCTTGTCAATTTCAGCTGGGATTTTGATGAGATAGTGTTGAATCTGTAAATCATTTTTAAGGACATTTTCATCTTAACAATAGTAAGTCTGCTAATCCATGAACAAAGGATGTTTGCTCATTTATTTAGGTCTTTTAAAATCTCTTTCAACAATGTTTTGCAATTTTCAGAGTATAAGTTTTACACTTTTTTGTTAAATTTATTCCTATTTTGGTGCTTTTATAAATGGATTTTTTTCTTAACTTTTTCTAGATTGTTTATTGCAAATGTATAGAAATACAACTGATATTTTAAATACTGAGCTTGTATTCTGCAACCTGCTGAACTTATTCAGTCCATCTTTTTTTTCAGATTCCATTTCAAATTCTGAGTGGACACCAACACCTTGTGAGTTCTTGTCACTTTTGTGTGGACGACACAAAGCTCCTCAGTGGCTCCTTTGACTGCACCGTGAAGCTGTGGGTAGGTGGCCCCATGTTAGTTGGAACCAAAACATCCTGTAGGTTTATGTCAACTCTTGTGGAGAGTTCCCCAGTACTGAGTTTCCAGGCTCTCAAGGGTCACAAGGATTTGGAGAGGCCTTTTTGAGCCAAGTCTAAGAAGGAGAAGCAAAGTGAAGGGCTCACATGAGTGTCAAGCCACTGGCTAGAGATGAGTTAATGTAGCTGCTGTTAGGCTGTTGGTTTGGAAACAGTGGGAGCAGGGGATAGAGACCACTGGACTGGGAGTGCCTCACCTTTTTTGTTCCTAGAGCCTACCAGGGATGTCTGAGCCGTGCCATTTCTTTGGGTCTCCTTCTCATTTGGGAAATTGAGTTCTATCCACAGAGATGGTATAGCCAAGCCTTGCTGGCCACAGAGGACAGAAAAGTGACCAGGCCTGGGACCTGTTTGTGAGAAGAGGTTGGGAGAGGCAGACCTGAGATTAGTGCAGGAAGCAAGGGAACGAGGAATGGGTGTGATGGTCAGACAAGGTTGCAGAGAGGTGGTCACCAAGAGCTCTTCCAAAACCTCCTGGACATAGCCAGCAGACCCTGGTAGGCCTGTTTAGCGGCACTGCTGGTCAGACAGGAGCAGGGCTGGGGGATGGCAATGTTCCTTAGGGGCCAGGCCACTGATGACTGTGTGGCTGGAGCTGGGCTCATGGTGGAAGACAGTCAGCTCTGAGTTTTGTAATCTCCTCTGGCTTCAGGGGCAGGAGAGGGACAGGGTGGAACAAGTCAAACCTGGTTCCTGGGTTCTGGTTCAGGTAACCAGGTGGAAGATAGTTTGGAGGAGCATCTTTTGTGTCATTGGTGGGTACCAAGGCCAGGCAGACTGAACAGGAGGGTTTGGGAACCATCCAAGTGATTCACGCCCCACATTTGGGGCCCACTAGCTCTGTGACCCTTTTGAGATGGATGAGAGTCATAGGACCATGTGATTCTCATGCTTTACTGTTCCCAACAAGCTGATTGAACTCAATCCACAACTTCAGTCAGTGCCTCTATGACCTCTCGCTCCCTGTCCATCTCTCCTGTTGATTTGAGGATGCCGTGGATGGATCTATTATCCGGGATTTTGAGCATCGGCCCGAAGCTCCTGTTTTAGAGTGCAGTGTCACGGCTGACAGCAGAAGGTGACCTTTCTTTCCTTTACACTGGTCAGGAACAGCGAGAGTGAAGAGACACACCAGGGACAGTTGAGTAAAAACAATATGAGAATTTAACTTTATGGAAATTTATCTTATATAGTGGACAAAGATTGCCACAGAAACATGCAATATAACACGACAAAGGTACATTTTTTTTATTTTACTAAATGTACAATAAAACATTTCAGAGTGAAATGAGCTGCCTATGAAAGTATTTTTTCTGTTAAAAATTAGACATGTGAGCAGAAGTGACTGATCCTTGTGAGCTGTAGATATCGCCTTAGAAGAAGATGGTCAGTTATGGAACAGAAGAGATGATACCTTTAACGCCCTAAACATGAGAGAACAGATTTAGACGGCTGAGGGAGTAAGGAAGAGAGTGGTGCTGGCCTGCTTTTGTGTTAGGTTCTCTCTGTGCTCAGTGAGAACCCACTGCTCTCCAGGGCAGGACGGGGGGTGAGTGGGTGGTGGTCATGGAGCATCTTTAGAGAGATTCTGGTATTATTTGCAATCTTGGTCTTAAATTATCAAAATTTTCTATGAGGAAACCATATGCATAACTGTCTCTGCCATAAAGACCCTTTCTCGTCATGTTATTCCAGAATTACTGCATCAGCCTATGATAAAACTCTGAGGACTTGGGACCTTGAAACAGGCAAGCTGCTGGTAAGCATGCCCCGCCCCAGTGGAGATGCCTCAGCCCGGGGTCTGCACTGGGCCTTAGGGGGCCCTGGGCTTGGTGTGGGGTGGCAAGAGAAATCAGACTTCCAGGAAAAGAGAATTTTCTCAGGGACCCAAGATGATGAAGTGGGGGCATTGGGAGAAGGGCTTCTTCTTGAAGGATGGATACATGGAAAGAAGTGGGATGGGGTGGGGGTTAAGGTAAGGGGTCATGGCATTTCAGACTGAGGGAGAGAGGCTCTCCCCTGTGAGGTGTCTGGATTTGATGAGGCAGGAAGTAGCGCTGAGGCCAGGAAAAGGCCCCCTGGCCTAAGCATAAGGGTTCTGGCCCTTCGCAATCTGTTCATCTTGGAGGGGCCACCACCCATCCATCCAAACCACCCTGAGGTCCCCTCTCTCTCCTGCTCAGTGCCCAGCAGCCCTGGCCCTTCTCAGGCATCTCTTCAGGGTCTCCCGTCCCTTCCCTGATGTCCTTCCCTAGCAGATCACCTCCCCTCTCCCTTCCTCCTCTTTTGTCTCCTTAAAAAAACAGTCTTTCTCTTAGTGCAAAGATCAATTTACATTCATTGTAAAGTTTTTTTAAGAAAGAAAAGCCAAGATTAGAAAAAACAAAATCAAACACTTTAAAACCCCCAGAGATTATAGTTAACATCTTGCTGTCTCATTTCCTACATTTACATATTAACCCAGACAAGTATTTTCTGTTAGCAACATAGTATCATTTCAGTACACATCTACATCGTATTATGATTATTATTTTTAAAAAAATATGTCTTTTTTGATTTCAGAGAGAGGAAGGGAGAGGGAGAGAGAGAGATAGAAACATCAATGATGAGAGAGTCATTGATCGGCTGCCTCCTGCACGCCCCCCACCGGGGATCGAGCCTATAATCCCGTCATTGACTAGGAATCGAACCTCGATCTCCTGGATCATAGGTTGATGCTTGACTGCTGAGCCATGCTGGCTGGGCTCAACATCATGGTTTTTAATGGGTGTGTGGGATCCATCGGACAAATAGATCATGCTGGTTTCACCATTCCCTGTTTCAGGACATTAAGGCTGCTTTCACTTTTATTATAAACAATGCCACAATGAGGGAAGTTTGCATATAAGTTTTATACATATGCAGCAATATATTTTTGGATATGTAGCTGGATTTTATTACTAATTTGGTATAGAAACATGGGGCTTTTAAAACTGTCCTCCAGAAATCTGTTCTAACTTATACCTTAGGCACTGGAGGAGAGCCCACTATCTCTCACCCTCACATGCCAGGTAACATAATTAAAAAAAAAAATTAACCAATTTTGTAGGTGAAAAATGAGATTGGTGTTGATCTTTAAACATTTTCCCAAATGTTTATTTCTTCTCTCGTAAATTTCCTGTTCTTGTCTCCAGCCAGTTTTTCTATCTTGGATGCTTTCTTTCACTTCTTTACCAAAATGCATAGGGGTAAAGTTGGCCATTACTCGAACCTTGCTGCCAGTTCTGCTGGGTACTGTCCCTACCCTTGTTCATCATAATTAATCTGGACACAGATTAATTAATTACATTTATTGATTAAATGAATTGATTAAAACCAAGCCAACTTAAAAATTCAGTTTCTTATTTGCACTAGCCTACTGCAAGCACTCAATGGCCACATGTGGCCAGTGGCTAGGATATTGGACAGCACATAGATGGAACATTTCCATCATCACAGAAAGCTCTACTGAACAGCTGGGCTAGAGAGAGAACAACCTTTTGATCGTTGCCCTATTTCAGTGGAAGATCGGGCATGAAAACCTCATAACCGCCTGTAACTTTTCTCCTGATGGTAAATATGTGGTCGCAGGCTTAGATGTGGATCACGGAATCTGTTTAACTGATGCCCTAAACGCCAAGATTCTGATACACATCAAAGGTGAGTTTGAAAAAAAAGGTGAGTTTGCATGGGCTCCCTGTTCTGTTCTGTCAGCCATGGCAACAGCTGCTTGTCACTTGACTGACTTTTGATTGCTCTATTTGGTGAAACTGTAATGATATGAGTCATATAATTAAAGGTGGGACACTGATTGATAAAAACACTGGCTGTTAATACCAAGACTGGTCATCAGTTAACATTTTTCGTTCAGTCTTGTGCTCGTAATTTAATGAAACAATGTTCTGCTCCAACCTCATGTGGACATTTAAAGCCCAACTTTTTATTGAGTGGAGGCTCAGCCTTCTTAATATTTTTATCTGTATTTTCTAAATATTAAAATAATAATCATTTATGTCACTTTCCTGGTTGTGATATATCATTCTGCAAGATGCTACCACTGGGGAAAACTGGGCATACAGGCTCTCTTTGTGTTATCCTTGTAATTACATGTCAGTTGACAGTTATAGCAAAATAAAGGTTAAAAAATACATAATCTTTGTAAAAAAATTTGGTGTGTAAAGTCAAAAGTTGAAGACTCCTGTACCGGTCCTGTCTCCTCCCCAGAGATACCTATTATAAAAAATATGTTGCTGGGTGGCCTTCCTGAACTCTGTGTGTGTGTGCATATTTGTGTGTGTTTGCACACACAGTGCTACTTCCCATATGTGCTTTATGTCTATTTTTATCAATATGGAACCATGATATGTGCAATGCCCCATGGCTTGTATGTTTCCCTTAATGTATCACATCCTACTCTACCTCTCCTCACTCTCCAGGTTTTAGCTGCTCACCACACTTCTCCATGTGCTGTCCCACCTCCAGACCTTTGCTCATGCTGTTCCTTCTGCCTGGAGCACTCTTCCTGCCCTCCTGCCCTTGATAACTTTTGGGCCCTTCCTCTACTTCTCAGGGCTGCCCCAGGCTGGGCCAGGAGCTGTGAGGTACCTTGCCAGGAGCTGTGAGGTACCTCACCCTCCTTTCAGGGCCCCTGGCATACTGTGGGGCATTGCCCACTCAAGGGTGAATCCCCATCAGACTGGGAGCTCTGCTGGGACAGGGAGTGGATCGGCCGTGCTCCTTGTTCAAAGCCTGGCATATGTGGTAGGCACTAAGGGATGTGTGAGTGACTAGTCCCTTGTGAAAACTGGAATTGTGCTTCTGGAATATTGTCATTGTCTGGGGGAGTAGTATGAGCCTCTGGGCCTTGAGAAGCATGTGGCTTGGAACATGAAACGTGCATAACAAGACCCTTTCCCTGTGCCTCAGATCACCACAAAAGATCGGTCACAGCTTGCCGCTTTGACCCTGATAGCCAGAAGGTGGCTTCCGTATCATTGGACAGGAGCATCAAGATCTGGGATGTTACATCCCAGGCCACGCTGTTTACCATCACCAAGTGAGGAGGGGCCCCAGGAAGCCGGGCAGCATCTTGTATCAGGGAAGTGGGCAGGATTCCCATCCATGCCCTCCTGGATTTGGCCTGCACACTTTCGGCTTGTTAGCCAGCATCCATGTTGGGCATCTCCAGCTTGGTCGTGGGTACTATGAGGAGGCTGGAGAGGGGAAAAGGGAAGGAGGAGGGAAGGCTGGGGAAACCATCACTTGTGGCCTTTGGGCTGGGACAGGCCTCAGGTACATTTGTTTCAATGTGAGCCAACATAATCTCAACTGATCTTGAAGTTTCCAAGGAGTAAACAAATTCTTTGTCATATATATATATATATGCTTCAACTGTCAAACATAAATTAGAAAACTCAAGAGAAGGAAACTACTGTATTTAACCATATTTTGCTTACTATGTTCTGTCTTTTTTTCTGATGTTCCAAGTTTCTTTCTTTTACTGCTTGCTTTCTGTTTGGAAAAACTTCCTTTAGCCATTCTTTTAGGGTAGGTCTGAGGCCAAACATTCTCGTAGTTTCCTTTCATTTGAAAATGTCTTGCCCGGCCAGGTGTGGCTCAGCGGTTGAGTGTTGACCTATGATCCAGGTGATCGGGGTTTGATTCCTGGTCAGAGCACATGCCCAGGTTGCGGGCTCCATCCCCAGTCGGGGGCATGCAGGAGGCAGCTGATCAATCACTCTCTCATCATTGATGTTTTTCTCTCTCTCTCTCCCTCTCCTTTCCTCTCTCTGAAATCAATAAAGATATATTTTTAAAAAAAATAAAAATAATGAAAATGTTTTGATTTCCTCTTCATCCTGAAGGACATTTTTGCTGGATATAGAAATCTGGGTTGACAAGTTTTTTTCTTTCTTTCAGCATTTAAAAACTGTCATGTCACTTTCTCTGGCCTCCGTGGTTTCTGATAAGAAATCCACTGTCATTCAAATTGTTTTTCCCTTCTAGGTGAGGCGTAATTTCTCTCTCACTGCTTTCAAGATTTTTTCTTTATCTTCACTTTTCAAAAGTTTAATTATGATGTGTCTGGGTGTAGATTTCTTTGAATTTATCCTATTTGGAATGACATAGCTTTTGGGATCTATAGGTTTATGTCTTTTGCCAAATTTGGTAAAATTTCAGATGTAATTTCTTTGATTACTTTTTCATCCCCACCCTCTTTCTCCTTCCGAAACTCTGATGAAACAAATGCTTAGATATTTTGTTATAGTCCCACAGGTTCCTGAGGTTCTGGTTTTTTCCCCCCAATCTATTTTTTGGATAGGTTAATTTATATTGTCTGCCTTTATAGTCGCAAATGATTTCCTCTGTCCTCCCCACTGAGTTTTTTATTTTGGTTGCTGTATTTTTTAGTTCTGAAATTTCCATTTGATCATTCTTTATATTTTCTTTTTGGCTGAGGAGTTCTATCTTTTTGTTTGTTCCAAACATGATTGTAATTGTCCATCAATGCATTTAAAAAAATTATATTTTATTTTTATCTTCACCAGAGGATATGTTTTTTAAATTGATTTTTAGAGAGAGAGGAAGGGAGAGCAAGAGAGAGAAACATCAGTCAGTTGCCTCTCACATGTGCCCTGACCAGGGATCAAACACGCAACCTAGGTATGTGTCCTGACCAGGAATCGAACCCACAACCTTTCGGTGCACAAGATGACACTCTAACCAACTGAGGTACCTAGCTAGGGCCCATCAAAGCATTTTTTCTTTTAAATTTGTTGTTGTTGTTGTCTAATCCCGAGGATATATTTTCCATTGATTTTTAGAGAAGTTGGAAGGGAGAGAGCGGGGGAGAGAGAGAAACATCTGTGTGAGAGAGACATATCAATCGGTTGCCTCCCACACGTGCCCCGACCAGGGCTGGGAACGAACCTGCAACCCAGGTATGTGCACTTGACCAGTAATCGAACCCAAGACCTTTTGGTGTGAGGGCCCATACTCTACCACTGAACCACACTGGCCAAGGCCTATCAATACATTTTTATGATGGCTTTTTAAATATATATATATATATTTATTGATTTCAGAGAGAGGAAGGGAGAGGGAGAGAGAGAGTTGAAACATCAACGATGAGAGAGTCGTCATCGATCAGCTGCGAGCCCGCAACCCGGGCATGTGCCCCGATTCCGATCCGGAATCAAACTGCAATCTCCTGGATCCTAAGTCGATGTTCAACTGCTGAGCCACGCCCGGCCGGGCTATGATGGCTTCTTAAAAATCCTTATCGGATAATTCTAATATCTTTGTTATCTCGGTGTTGGCATCTATTGATTGTCTTTCTCATTTATCTTGAGATTTTCCTGGCTCTTAGTATGATAAGTGATTTTTAGTTGTATCCTGGACATTTGGAGTATTACATTATGAGACTGTCTTACTTAAATCTTCTGCCTTAGCAGGCCATCTGATTACAGCCTGACAAGGGTGGCAATCTAGGCTCCCGTCTTGGCCTTTGCTGACAGCGGTGGGGATGGGGCTGCAGTTTTCCCCAAGATATTTGGCTGGAGTTAGGTGGGTATTGTCTAAAGGTGTTCTGTTTTGTTAGGCTCTTCCTTTGGCTAGGGAGAGTGAGTTTACTTGGAGGCCTTTTCTTTTGTTCCCCATTTCTTTTTTTGTTGTTGTTACAAGCTTTTCCAGTACTCAGTCCAGGACATATGTAGCAAAAAGAAAACCCTAGGCACTCACAGCATGCCCTCCTTGGGTCCCAAGAGCCCTAGCTGGTCTGCCTTTTCTCTACCATTCACAGTCTTCTGTTTGCTCTGTAAATGCCCAGGGTTGTTAGCCATCCTAAGCAAGAGGAATGGAGAGAAGTGCATTGACTCCATCTTAATCCAGACATGCATGTGCAACACAAGCACTTTTCCCAAAGATTGGCACTAAGGAAAATGGTCTTTTATGAGAAGTGGAATTTATTCGAAATGAGAATCCATCCTGAAAAATAGAGATAGCCCTGGCCTGAACCACAATGACAGTGTCTAGATTCTGGGGAGGGATTTTTATTCCATCTCCAGGTTTAAACCCCATTGACAGTGTGGATGCAGAGATGGTTCTTAGCCCAATAGGCATAGGGATTTGGAAAGTTTTACCCTGGACACCGTTGGAAAGTTGACACTAGCCCCCCTTTGATCTTGCTCGGTTTGTGCATTTCAAAGAACAGAAACAGAGTCCAAAACTCTGACCTGAGCTCTAGAAAACAGTTTTGCTCAACCTTTTCCTCAGGTAAAATGATTGATTTTATGATTCGGGCTACTCAGAGATGCTCATTTATGTTTATAGATTTGCTTGAAAGTTCTGTTTATAACAGGAGATGAGAATCATGGGAAAAATACTTTGAGGATCACAAACAAAAAAAGCAGCAAATGCTGACAGATTATTTTCCTCCAAACAAGAACACATTTAAAAATTGAGAATGGATAACCAAAAACTATGTTAATTAAATATGCAACATTAAAATATGCTTTAATGACACTGAAGACAGATAAAGAGAGAGGGAGAGAGAAAGAGAGAGAGAGAGAGAGCAGTTGGGGTGAAGAAGAGTAAGTGGGAGGGGGTGGAGGGGGAGAGCAGGGGAGAAGTAGCCAAACGTCCACATCTTGGAGTGAAAGGAGGTGAACAGTGAACAGGAGAGGCACACTTTGTGTGACCCAGCACCAGGCCTGAAGGGCTGTTAGTCCATTAACTACCACTGACAGCTTTTCTAACTGCTCTTTTCCTCAAACCTCAGGCAGCTCCGAATAGTGCAGTGGTTCTCAATCGGGGGCAGTTTTATACCCCAGTGGACATTTAGCAATGTCTGCAGACATTTTTGGTTGTCACAACTAGGTGTGAGGGCTACTGGCATCTAATGGGTAGAGCCCAGGGATGCTGCCCAACATATTGCAATGTACAAAACAGTTCCCTATCACAATGAATTATTTGGTACAAAATGTCTGTATTGCCATGATTGAAAAACCCTGGAACAGTGTGACATAGAGCAATTATAATCTGGACCATGGTAGTCAGTGATTGAAGGAGCGATGCCCATTAGGTCACAGGGCATCAGCTCCAATGCCCTCTCCCTTCACCCTTCCCCCCTTAGGTGTGTCTTCAGATTTTCCAGGAGTCTAGTGCTAACATCTGCACCCTTCCCTCTGTGTTTTCAGCGCACATTCCAATGCAATCTCAAACTGCTGTTTTACCTCCAGTGGCCATTTCCTATGTACAAGCTCTTGGGATAAAACCTTAAAAATATGGAACATTCATACAGGGGAGTTTCGGAACCGTGGAGCCTGTGTGACTCTGATGCAGGGCCATGAAGGGTCTGTGAGCTCCTGCCACTTTGCCAGAGACAGTGAGTAATAAACACGTAGAAGAATTCTGCACCCACAGGAGTGGTGGGGCAGAGTTCCTCATGCTTCATTCACACGGGACTTTCCTTAGCACAGAGAGATGATTTTCAGTGTTGCTGGGTGGATTTATTTTCCACAAGAACAAAAAAGTCAAGAGGGAGATTCATAGGCACAAGTTTGTAAGTGACAGAAACTCAGCTCAGTGTGGTTTAGGCAACAAAGGAAATTCATTAACTCCTGTAATGGGAAAGTCCAGGTCTCACTTCAGGTGTGGCTGAGTCCAGACACTCAGACAGTGCTGTCAGGGAGCCAACTCTTCTACTCTGCTCCTCAGATCAGCTTCTTTCTTGTATTGGTATTTCTCCTCAAGTAGGCAAAGTGGCCTCTGGTGGTTCAGGCCAACAGCGGTTCTGGCTGCTGGTGATTCTGGAGAAAGCAGCTCCCTCTGATGATGCCAGCACAAGTCCCATGGAAGACTCCCATTGGCTCAGCTTGGGTCGCATGCCCATCTCTGAACCAATCACTATAGCAGGAGATGAAAGGTACTGATTGGCCAGGTCTGAGTGACTTGCCCACCCCCAGAGTTAGAGCTTAGGGTAAGAACACTCTGAACCAGAGGGATTGATAATAGGTGAGGGAAATTGGGAAGCTATTTCCAGATGAAGGGGCATGGATGTGAGCAGGGGCAATGACAGGAACCTGATACACAGGAGCCAAAGGTTATACTCCTGCCTCCTCATGGACTGTGTGTGGGGGACCCCAGCCAGTACACACGTGATCAGGGTTTGACTTGAGAAATGTGTTTTTCCGAATAACTTTTCCTCTTCAGAAGCAGCCTCTGTGTAAGTCAGACCCCACTATGAGGCGCCCCACCAGTTTGTTTCCTTGGCTTTACTGGTTTCAGAGTTGCATACAGTCATCAGTATTTGCAGATTCTCTATTTATAAACTTGCCTACAGGCTAACATTTATTTGTAACCCTAAAGTCAATACTCATGGCACTTTTGTGGTCACTCGTGGATATGTGAAGCGCAGTGCAAATTTTGTTAGCCTGTGTGCGCATTCCCAGGTGAAGTTGAAATAGGTGACTTGCTGCCTTCTTGTTTCATCTCTCTCATCATAACGTGTACTTTTTGTGGTCCATTTAGTGCCATGCTTTGCAATTTGAGCTTTTAGTTGGTGCTCTTGCTGTTTAAACCGGCCTCCTAGCAATGCTGTCCAGTGCTCCTAAGTGCAAAAAGGCTGTGATGTGCTTTATGGGGGAAACACACGTGTTAGAGAAGCTTCATTCAGGCATGAGTTTCAGAACTGATGGCCCTGAATTCAATGTTAATGAACAAACAATATATATCAGATAAGGTGTCTCTAAACAGAAACAGACATAAAACAAGGTTATGTTTTTTGATGAGTTTAGGAAATGTGACCAGAGGCTCACAGGAACCTAACCCTGTATTTTCCTTAGGAGCAATGGCTCAGTATTTGCTAGTTCAGTGTTTGTGATGACTTGACAGAAAATAACTACCTTTAATAATGAGAATCAGCTGTAACTGTGGGTGGTTGAAACACCAGGAAGGGGGGGTGAGGGTGTCTTTAGAATGAGTCATGAAGCACCTCACTAACGAGGCCTCAGCCCGCTTTGACCCCACCACAGGAGGAAGCAGTTGCTTGGAGAAGATGACCCCTCGAGACTCTCATTTTGTGTTGCAGCATCTTTTCTCGTGTCTGGAGGGTTTGACAAGAGTGTGACTATTTGGGATGTAGGAGAAGGCTACCGGAAGCTCTCCTTGAAGGTACCAGTGCCAGCATCAGAATAGAGCATCTGAGCTTCACTCCTTAGTCATTCCATGCTGGGTGCTGGATGCTGGGGAGACAGAAGACCTAGATGTCCCCTATGGAGCTGATACCTCTGTGGGGAAGGACAAACAAATCAACAGTGATGAATGAAATGGAGAAACCACAATGGGTGATGTGATAGAAACGGACTGCAGGGACTAATCCATAGTGGGTGGGAAGGGAGGGCCTCATGGAGAAGGGGGCCTTTGAGCTGAGGAACGATGGCAGGGAAGGACTGGATGAGTGAGGAGCTTGGGGGAGGGCATTCCAGGCAGATGGAACAGCAAATGCAGAAACTCAGAGATAGGAAAGTGTTTAAGAACAACAGAAATTACTGTGTAGAAGGCTAAATGCCACAATGAGGCATGCACAGAAAGCTGTAGGCTCCCAAATGAAGGGTGTCAATTGGGTGCTTTTGGCTGCGAGTTAGAGAAGACTCCATTCAAAGTAGCTCCATAATAAGGGAATAGATTACCCAACACAGCCAGCACCCAGAGGTCAGCAGTCCCTGGATGGGCTCCTTCAGTGCCTCTGTTCCACCCTAAGATATCTGCATACTCCCTGATCCTAAGATGTCATGGCCACCTTTGGCTGGGAATGCTTGCACCCATGAGTCTTGGTCTCTCTGCTCCATGTGACCAAATGTAGATGATGTCCCCTTGGATCACCACAACATTCAGGCTCCCACAGGCCGGTCTATTTGAGCTTTCTGAGTTGGGAGGGGCAAAGGAGTTTATATCACAGCAAATAAATGGCTTAAAATGGAATGTTCAAGCACCCTGTGCTTAAAGTTAAGTCCCTTTGCCCCCTATTAGTTTGTTCTGCTCACTTTTCTCCTCTCTCCTCTCTATTCTTCCACCTTCAGATTCCTTTCCTTTTGTCATGCACAGCAGCTTAACCTTCTCTCCGGTTCCCTGTCCTACCCAACCGTGTTGCCTCACTGTTCCCCTCTTTCTATAAGGGAAAGGCCAAAGAATGACAAGGATGCTGGCAGATCCCTGATGTCATCAAATGTCTGACCCAGCAATGGTATCTGTCTCCTCTGAGCTCCTTTGTATCTGAGGAAAACAGTCCCCCACTTGAAGCCAAAAGCCCCCTCACCAGTCAGAGCTCTGAGTAGTATTCCCTAGAACAAAGCAAGCAAGCACAAACCTGCGAGAGGTGCTCTGGTACCAGCTAGGGATACAATAATTCTTTCCCCATCCTGCTGTCTTTAAAAACACGCACAAGGCCATGACATACACGTATCACAAGCCTTGACACTGTTTTCCACCTGAAATGTCCTTGGTGAAACCAGGGAAGCACAGTTGGTTACTCTTAAACGTAAGCAACATTGGGTTTACTTGTTTTGTTTTTGTTTTTGTTGTTCTTACAAAAGCTTTTCCTCTAGGTCCTTGTTAAAACTCTATTTTTCTTCAGGGCCATAATGACTGGGTTATGGATGTTGCCATTAGCAGCAACAAGAAATGGATCCTGTCTGCTTCAAAGGTAAAAGTGGCCAACCTTTGAGTGACTTAAAATCTCTGTTGCATCTGTGAGGATTGGTGATAACAGAAGCTCTGTTGTCAAGTAAAATTTTGGGGGCAGGTTCAGTCTGAGGGCCACACCTGGCCAGGCCATCCCATCCCATCCAGGGAGCGGCCTGTACGAGGATAGCAGGTCCCTCTGTCTGCTCTTGTGGGGAGTTGCCTCTGTCTCTGCACCACTGGCATTGGAGTTTCATTGGAGCAAGGGCCTGGCCAGACTGGTGAGAGATAGAGCCAACAAGGGGCCCCATACCTCGCTACATCCTGGGATTCCCATTCCAGTGGCACATAGCGGCTAGCCCAGGATGTCCAGAGGGCTGTCCTCTAGGTGTGAGGACCAGAGAAGTGGGGAATCACCTTGCCTCTTACCTCTATTAGAGACATTTCATTCTCTAGACTGAGAGTTTCTCGATCTATGAGACTGGACAAAACTGCCTACTATGACCAACTTACTTGAGAGCCAACCTAGGATACTGCCACACCTTACAGAACATCCATAGTAAATAGCACATAATAAAAATTCTATGCCTATGTATTATTTTTTTAAAAGATTTTAAAAAAATTGATTTTTAGAGCCCAACCGGATGTGGCTCAGCGGTTGAGCATCAACCTAGGATCCAGGAGGTTGAAGTTCGATTCCCGGGCAGGGGACATGCCTGGGTTGCGGGCTCGATCACCAGTCGGAGGCGTAAAGGAGGCAGCCAATCAATGACTCATCATTGATGTTTCTCTCTCTCTCCCCCTCTCCTTCTCTCTCTCTGAAATCAATGAAGATATATTTTTTTAAAAAATTGAATTTTAGAGAGAGAGGAAGAGGGAGAGAGAAACATCAATGATTAGAGAGTCATTGATCGGCTGCCTCCTGCACACCCCCCACTGGGGATCGAGCCTGCAACCCAGGCATGTGCCCTGACCAGGAATCGAACTTCGACCTCCTGGATCCTAGGTCGATGCTCAACCTCTGAGTCATGCCGGTTGGGCACTCTTAGCTTTTTGAGTGTAGTAATCCTAATAGTTATGAAGTGGTATTTTGTAGTTTTGATTTGCATTTCCCTGACAACTAATGACGTTGAACATCTTTTCATGTGCTTATTGGCACATATATTTTCACTTTCTGGATGCATGTTCTTTGAGGCGCAATAGTTTTAAATTTTGATGAAGTCCAGTTTATCTGTTTTGTATTTTGTTGCTTGTGTTTTAGTGTTATATCTAAGAAACCAGTGCCTAATCCAGTGTTATAAAGATTTACCCCTATGTTTACTTCTGTTTCCAAAATGGAACCCTGGTAAAAAAATAATTGATCATAAATGTGAGGGTTTATTTCTGGGCTCTCAATTCTAGTCTATGGGCCTATGTTTCTATCTGTGTTTCTGTGGATCTTGTGCCTGAACTACCCTGTCTTGATAATTGTAGCTTTGCAGTACATTTCGAAATGAGGAGGTATGAGCCCTGCAAAGTTCTTGTTCAAGGTTGTTTGGCTATTTTTGGTCCCTTGAATTTCCATATGGATTTTAGAATCAGTTAGTGACCAGAGGAGTCAGCTGGGATTTTCACAGGGATTGTGTTGAATCTGCAGATCACTTTTTTGTGGGGGGAGGTATTGCCATCTAACCAATATTAAGTTTTCTGGTTCATTGAACATGGGATATCTTTCCATTTATTTATGTCTTCTTTAGTTTCAACAATATTTTTTAGATTTTGGTCTGTGAGTTTTGCACTTCTTTTGTTAAATTTATTCCTAAGCAATGTTATTCCCTTTGATGCTAAATCAAATTGTTTAATTGCATTTTCAGATTGTTCACTGCAAGTATATAAAAATGCAGTTGATTTTTGTGTGTTGATTTTATGTCCTGCAATCTGACCAAGCTTGTTTATTAGTTCTAATAGTTTTTTAGTGGATTCCTTAGGATTTTCTATATACAAGGTCAGGTAATCTTCAAATAGAGATAATTTTACTTCCTTTCCAATTGGATGCCTCATATTTCTTTTTCCCCCCACATTGATATTTTGGTGGAAGATGAAAACTTCTGAATAATTTTGAACTTGCCTGTCCCATCCCAGACTCAGTCACCATATGTGCTCTTCATATTTCCTCCTCCACCAAACCTAATCCCCAGTTATTTTCTGCATATTGTTCTGGTAACCTATCCCCATTCTAGGGGTTGTTTGTTTTTTTAAGACAGTTTTCTTTCTTTTTAAAAAAATGAATTTGAGAGAGAGAAATATTGATTGGTTGCCTCCTGTACACGCTTCAACCAGGGATCCTGCAACCTAGGTATGTGCCCTGACCAGGAATCAAACCTGCAACCTTTTGGTGTGCTGGACGATGCTCCAACCAACTGAACCACCTGGCCAGGGCCCCAGTCTAGTTTTAAGTGTCTATCTGTCATTAAACACAGCGTACAGCTTCCTTTTCTTGTGACATCTGGGTCATGCTGGCATTGGTCCTGCAAATGTTCTCATTTTTATTACCCTAACTCTTACAAAACAGATCATGATGTTCACAATGTTAAAAATTCTACCAGCACTATCTTGAAACAAAGCTCAACCATTAATCCATAGGTAGAATCAAGGCAAACTGTTAAAACTCAGGATTACAATGCTGTGGAGTTGAATACTTAAGTTGCATCACTGGGGGTGAGTCACAATAATGGATGATCTATTGTTTTGAACTGCAAATTGTGGAAAACAGTGATGGACCTATAGCCGGTGGATCGTCTACGCATATCCATTTGGCATTTTAAAAATTTTGCTTTCAGACCCTATTTTGAACTTCCATACCCATTGGTGAAAAATGGGACTTTTTGCACCCTGAAAGGGGTTTTCTGGGACATGGGCCTTGCAGAGCAAAAGCTGGAAAGGTGCTGGAGAAACTGAGACAGTTGGGCCCTAACTCTGCTCCTCAGCAGGTCAAAGTTCACACAGAACCTGCTGCGATGCACCTCCCTGGGCCTGTCCAGCCTAAAGAACCCATTTTGTGACTGCTGGTTTGCTGTTTTTAACTTTTTTTAGGATAGGACCATGAGACTATGGAATATTGAAGAAATTGACCAAATTCCTTTGGTAATCAAGTACAAAAAGGCCCTGGGCTTAACGGTGAAACAGGTTGGTATTGGGTAAAATTAAGCCCAATGAAGGCTTTCATTTGTTACCACTACAAATTAATTTATTCTTTGAACAAACATTTATTCAGCAACTGGGGATGAAACCATGAGCAAAAAGATTGAAATCCTTGCCCTGAAGGGGCTTAAATTGTAAAAGGGGAGAAAAGCAAAGAAATAAGCAAAATATTTGGTTAGTCACATGGTGATAAGTTATTTGGAGAAAACTAACATAGGGAAGGGGAATGAGAGTGCTGGAGGTTGCTCTCTTTCAAAGGGTAGATAGGATAGGTCTCATTGAGAAGGTGACATTTGTTCAAACACTTGAGGGAGTGAGATGTGATGTTTAGGGGAAGAACTTTCCAGCAGAGGGAACAGCCAGTGCAGAGACCCTGAGGCAGGAGTGAGCCTGGTCTGTATTTGTGTAGAGTGAATGAGGGGGACTGGGAAATGAGGCCTGAGGGAGTGCTGGGCACACACCTGGACACTGTGTGAGCCTCCTACACTCTGGCAGCAGACCCTCTGGCCAGGCCCTCAGTGCCCCATTTCCCATGGAAGGGGCTTAGGTGCCTGTGTTTCTCTAGTGAGAGAACTTGGTGGTAGAGTGGGCACGTCTTTTGCTTCACCAGGTTCAGCCAGGGCTGGCCACGGAGGTTCTCCCTGGGCAGTAGAGGACTTGCTAGGACTCTGGAGCAGATACCTGGCTGCCACCTTAAGAGACTGAGGAGCCTATGCTGGGCCCTCTTTAGTCTTCCTTCCCTTGGAATCCCACAGTCACCTAGACTTACCTCCTTTCAGAAGGTCTGGCTGGGAACCACTGCTTCTGGGAACAACTAATTTGGGAACAGCACTATGGGGTAGGGAAGTGAGGGGTGGGACCCACATGGACCTCGGCTTTGTGGCCAGCTGGTTCTCATGGTCATTGTGGCCAAGTTCACTCTCAGGCCCTGGAAGCTGACTAGCTACAGAGCAGTGCTTGCCCATGTCCTCCACTTGCCAGCAGGAGCTGCCTCCTCTGAGCTATCATTCTGGGGTTGGGCCGTGAGAAATTATACTGTAGAATAAAGAAAGTTTAATTTTAAAAAAAGGCTGGGTTTTCTCAGAGGCCAGATTTCCCAGAGGGCCTGCCCCATATAGGGTTTGCCCATCTCTCCTGCAGGCATTAGTGCACTGAAATAGGCAAGGGTGGCAAAGCAAGGGGCTTGGGGTGCCAGGGCAGGGGCATGCCACCCTACAGGCTCGTCTTAGGGGGACTGTGTTGTGGTGGGAACTCCTGAGAGACCTCTGCCCGTGGCCCGAGAACCCCGCTGTGGTGGTGTTCACATTTGTGGGAAGCAGATGTAGTGAGTGAGCTCTGCTGCTGCAGCCACTGTTCTCTCTGTGCTTTGGCCAGAAACAGGCTTTGAGATGCAGGAGGATGCTCAGCACCTTCATCATCTAGTAAAAATTCCTGCTTCGTGCAGAAATTGTGCTTATTTGCTTCTCATGGTTCTGTAAAAGTGAGGTGTCCCCAGGATGTCAAGGAGTTAAGATATCCCCTCGGCCCCATAGTTCTGCTTTGCACAGAGCAGAGGATGGGGTTAGACCCCTCCACCCTGTCCTCTTCACTGCCAGGTGGCTTACCACTCCTGCCCCCAGGACCCTTTGGCAGGGGACATGAGCTGCACAGCTTTTTGGGGGAAGAGAGGGAGAAGCCTGTGCTCATTCTGTCTCAGTGGCCTGCGATTTCCACCCAGAGAGGAGAGGCAGCTCTTGCCTTGACCTAACCCAAGGGGTTTGGATAGGGTGGGAGAATTCTAATTGCATGCCCTGATGCCCTCCGACTAGCACCTCTTTTCTGCTCTCTTTAAATATTGTACGTCAGTGCGAAGAATGTGACAGGCCTTTCTCCGTCTACGAAAGTGACATCTTTTCTGAAGTCGTCACCAAATGCGTGTTCTGCCGGATGGAAGCAAAAGGCTTGCCAGCAGAGGCCTCATCATCAGAAAAGGACGACTCGCCAGCAAGGGGGTCCAGCCTGGGCAAAGATGGTGGCCACTGGGTCCTGTAGGTTTCAGGGCTCTGCAGGGATCTTTCTCTGGGGCCCTTCCCTGGCTGGGTGGGCCTGTCAGACGGGGCAAGGGCCACACCCTCGCTGGGCTCCCACCACCATGCTACCTCCTCAGCACCCTACTGAATGGGATTGGATGCTTTTAGTTTTCAGGCAGAATAAACCTAGATTCTTTTGGAAAACGAGTGTGCATGTGAATTCCAGAAGCACTCTTGCTATTTATAAGCTTTATGTCCTGGTGTTCATCCAGACACAGCTGGATTCCCATTCTGGGCTCTGGAGTTGCCCTGTAAGGCAGACCTCGGGGGCTGGCACTAGCAGCCCCTGAGGAAGGGCTTGTAAAATGAAGAGGAAGATGTGTGGGGACGCCTCTGTGGAGGAGACTGTGGGTGCCTCCCTGTCTAATGCTCCCGGATGGCCACCTGCCCAGAGTAGAGGAAGGTCTAGTTAGGCAGGCAGGTGGTGGGCATTTCCATCACAGAATGTTTCATGCTGTCCACCCCAGACTTTTCAATTTCCAGCATGCCTATGCACACGGGCTGCCGTCTTCCTGCTATCTACAGCATATCTACAGCATAATTACTCCAGAAGTGAAGGTTTCAGTTGAAAACCATGAAGGGCTCCCTTTTCCATTTGGTATTGCTCACACGGCAAATATCATTCGGATGCCCCTTGCTCTGTTTTAAAAAACTTAATTGCAAGACCGATTTATTTAGTGTCCATGGACTGGCATCCAATAATTCTCGGGAGCACCATAACCTGACATTCTTTGGGCAAAGTCCTGTGCTTAGTGATGCCCTCCTCAGTCACAACCCTGGTGACTGTTCAGGCTGGAGCTGGCTGCTCAGTAAATACTCATTTATTTGCTCTGGCAGCAATTCAGCTCTCCTTCAGAGAGGAGTCCTATTGCTAGTGGTCCCCGTTTTCCGACACAAGACAGCAGAGATGTATTCCCTCCGCCGGGGCGCGGGTGGACTGCACACACGCCACTGCCCTCACTGGTGGGCGCTCAGGTGGTTCCTCTTTCTCGTGCCTTTGCTGTTACTAATAATCCTGGCGTGAAGCTTCTTGTGCATATATTTTTGCAGAAACTTACATTTCTGTGGATGGGGCTCTCCCACCGGAGGACTTGCTAGGTGAATGGATTAGCAGTGTTACGGTTTTGTCGCTGCTGAAAGGCCCTCTAAAGTGCTGGGGCAAAGTGGCTGATGTTGGCCGGAAGCCGGGGTCCCTTGAAGCTCTGGATCCCTGTGTCCCCGGACCCTTCCCCTCTCCGGGTCCTCCGGAGAAGCGGCCCAAGTGAAGCTAAGGGTCTGGTCCCGACGGGCGGGCAGAGGAGCCTCCAGGATGACGGGGCCGGCGACACCAATGGTCTGAGTGCGGCCGAGGGGGGCCCCCGGGGGGCGGGGGCGCCGGTGCGTTG